TAGTGTTGGAAGTAAATCAAGGCTTGTAGAATACCGTATGCTTCCTTCTCGTATGTATGCCAATTGAGCTGGGAGCCCGTCAACGTCCTACTGAAAAATCCCAAGGGCCTTCCCTCTTGCATGAGGACAGCTCCAATGGCATAGTCGCTTGCATCAGTATAGAGCTCGAAGGGGATACCGAAATCAGGGTAAGCTAAGAAGGGCAGGGCTGCGAGACGAAGCTTGAGCGCCCGGAAGGAGTCCTCTTGCTCTTGTCCCCAGTAGGTATCCAAAGCCAAAGTTTCACTTCCGACCTCCGACACCAGCCGTTGAATTGGTCGTGCCACGTCCGAGAAGTTAGGAACGAAGTTGCGGTAGTAGCCGGCGAGACCCAGGAAGGACCTTATCTCTGCGACATTACCAGGGCGAGGCCATCTTAAGATCGCCTCTACCTTAGTCGGATCTGGTCTCATACCGTTCCCGTCAAAAATGTGTCCTAAATAGGGCACAGAAGGGCAACCGAACTCGCACTTCTCGGCGGACAACGTCAAGCCCCACGCACGCAAGCGTGCGAAGACTTGTCTCAAATGGTCTTCGTGAGTCTCAGCATCGGGCGAGAACACGAGGATGTCGTCTAGGTAGACCCGAACAAAAGGTAGTCCATTAAGTACTTGGTCCATCGGACGTTGAAAGGTGGCTCCAGCGGAGCAGAGTCCGAAAGGCATGCGGACCCACTCATAGAGCGGAAAACCAGGGCCAGGGCAAAAAGCTGTCTTATGAATATCCTGAGGACGAAGAAGGCACTGCCAATAACCAGACTGTAAATCAAGTGTACTGAACACCTTCGAACCCGCTAAGTGCTCTTGTACATCATCAAGACGAGGTAGTGTGTACGAATCAACCTCCGTGAGGGCATTCAACGCACGAAAGTCGATACACATTCTCACTGAGCCATTCTTTTTAGGGACGTAAACGCACGGTGAACGATACGGAGATGTGCTAGGGCGAATCATTCCTTCCTCCAACAGTTTATCCACAAGGCTCTTGACTTCATCCCGCCATTTGTGGGGAATCGGTCGTGGTTTCTGGGAAAAGGGCTTATCTGACTTTAATGGTATAGCATGCTCAACGGAATCGCATTTCCCAGGACGGGAAGAAAATAAATCAGAATACTCATTACATAATTTAGCAAATCTTTTTTTATTGGGATACACAGAAAGGTCAATAGATGGAAGTATAACACGAGGGACCTCATCAGTGAGGTCGGGGACCGCAAATCTAAGGGCACCAGAGATATCATCGTCGAGCATATCATCCGTAGTGACTCCACTCGGGGGCCATAACGTTCCAATATCGCCAGGCCGTGGGACCGGGGGTAGCCAAGAATCGGGAATCGGCATTTCTGTCGGCAACCCATCAGCAGCCAATTCGTCGTTGGTCAAGGGCTCTTTGACAGATAACATGGCGATCAACCGAGGCCACGGCAAGGCGGAGGCGACAACTCTCTGAACTTTCTTGTGAACCTTCCTTTGGAGATCCCTTCGGCGTCTACGCTTGGCGTTTCGCTTCTTTGGACCGTTATAGCGAGAAGCCTGGGTGTCGTCGAAGTTAACTTCAGGGCAGTTGGGACCTCGGAGAGGGGGTTCAGGCGGCATAATCAAATTCTTGCTGGGGATTTTCTTTTTTTGTAAGTTAGACAATGATTCAATCATACGGGTAGGTACCTTTAAGGGTTCAGGTTTCCTCCGAGTAGCCGATACGGAATAACCGCGACCAGCATCCGTTACAGACGGAATAGGTCGGTCCTTCAAGACACCTTGTAGTAATGGAGGGCCAAGCTCTTGATAGACCACAGACATCCTATAGTGTGCCAAGAAGTCGCTACCTAGAAGGATAGGATGAACACAAGCCTTCACCACCAAAAATACCATAGGTACCACGATATCAGGAGGGAGGTCGGGACCCGGCGGCGGGGGGTCTGCCTCCGGTAAACAAGGATTATCTAAGTTAGTCGAATCGTACAAGGACAGAGTAAGGGCGACAGCTCCTAGCAAATCGAAGCTATGACCCTGTGCAGAAATAAGTTCAAGTCCACGAACAGGTTGTATCTTGGCACCAGCCGGGAGACAACGTTCGTCTAATAAAGTATAACAGCTACCAGTATCAACTAGAGCGTGACAAGGACCTCTAGCGGCCTTGTCAGATGAAATATCGGCGTAAAGAAAATTGCCATAAGACCCGCCGAAAGTCTCAAGGGCAAATGGTATTGGCGATCGAGGGCCGCTTATCGACCGCCTTGGGGGTTTCCCAGCGGTAAGGGGGAACCTCCAGGGGGCTTAGAGGCCGTATTACGGATCACCTTATTCGGGTTCTGGTAACAATCTCTAGCCAAGTGACCAGTCTTGCCGCACCAGTAGCAACCTTCCGAGAACTTCTTGTTGGGACAGGAGTAGGTCGGATGATCCTGGGCCTTGCAGATACCACAGTTCCTACTAGGAACTTCCTAGGCCGAGTAAGGGCCACGGTAGAGGTGACATTAGTATCTGGCTGTTGCTTAGGATCGCCACTCTTGCGTCTCATACCACCCAAAATCCTGTCGAGCTTCTGTTCGATACGCTTGGCATCAGCTTTCGTGAGCGCATCCGTAGAGTCATCGGCCGGTTGGCTACCGAAAACACCAGCGGCTGTGGCAACCTTAGCCGGTGTCTCGACAATGGTGTTGGAGTTAGCGTCGTCAAGGGCAAGAACGCTGTCACACATTATACAGGCCTCCTTGAGGTTCTTAGGCTCTTTCAAGAGGAGCTGGAACCGGACCATGGGGGGTAGATCTGCTTTCAGTCGGTCAATGATCATCTCCTCCATGTTCTTAGTCCTGTCCGCTTCAGAGAGCTCAGGGAACTTCTCCTTGGTATAGTACCGGTTGAGGTGTCGTTGTAGAGCTGCAGCATAGAGAGCGGGGTGCTGACCTTTGGACCAGCGTAGCTCTTGGAACTGTTTTAGGGCTTGGTGGGGACGGACATGATCAAATATCTTCAGGAGGGACTTCTTGTCTTCCTCGAAGTTCACCTTCTTAGCATAAGCATCCCAACCAGAGAGAAAGGGTTCCTTCAAGTACAGACCAAGGCGTTCTGCCTGCTGTTGAGTGGACCATCCGGCGGCAAGGGCACATTGCTCATAACGTCTTAGCCAATCCTTGAAGCTACCGGAGATACCATCGAAAGCAGGAGGCATCGAGAGACTAATCCTCAAGGGGGCGGCTTCATCAACCTGGGGGCGATTATCACCAGTATTATTCGTCATTGGGCTCGTCGTCGATCAACAAGGAGCTGCTACCAGAATGTTGTGCCTGTTACTGGGCAACACAACTAGTAGCCAGACTTCAGTGGATAGCGTAGTCGAACTTCACAACAAGGGCAGACCTTCGAGGAAGGGCAGCCGAGTGAGAAGGATCAAAAAGGAGTTGTAACTCTACTTATCCTTAGTTCATGATCACACAGTGCGCATACGTGCGTAGCGCGATCGATGGCGAGCGAATATAAGTGATCAGACGATAACGATTACAAGGGCGAGCGCGTAGGGCGCGATCCCTACACGCATATTCGAAATACAGAATTTAGTAAGTTGCATTGTAGATAGGTTGTCAAATGTCTAGATAAAAATATACTATTGAGTTTTTTGCTTAATCTGTAGAAATGAATAGGTTTCTTACACGGCCATCGTGTCTATTTGAATTGCTTAGAGTTTGATATATTTTTCCATCCGCCGTCCTCCCTCTAAGCCTTAGATGGACGAAGACTGCGTGCGAATGTATGAATCTCCTCAGCATGCATTTACAAGTGAATCTTCGTTACAGGATCACGGCATTTTAACACGTAAAGTACCACTGATCCGTAAACTGATCCTTTTGATGGATCAGAAGCTTGATCCAATATTTGATCCGGATCAGAGGGTGATCCCTCGGGACCGAATGGATCACGGATCAACGAAATTTCTCAGCTCGTCTGAGAATTTCTCAACCCTTGATCTTTGGATCACGGATCAAGTTTTTTCTCAAGAATCATAGATCAGGATCAAAAATGAGGTTCACGCGAGATCCAGATCACAGATCACGGATCAGTATCAAAGTTCAGGGATCGAGATCAACGGTCAAGGATCAGGATAAAAGATCACGGATCGAGATCAAGAATCACAGATCTGACTCACGCATCTCGGATCACGAAAGATTTGGTTCAGACGTCAAGATCAACGAGTGATCTGGATCATGTGCTTGATCCGTGGATCAGGATCCGCATACCGGCCCTGGGCACCATTTGGGAGACCGGGTCTCCGAGACCCTCAGCGTGATCTACATGTGAACAGTTCACAGTGAACTTGACATGGGGGGAGGGACTGTCGCAACAGGAGGCAAGGAGGGCAGACCGGGGCACATGTCACAAGCCCGCATAAAGAGGCTCCTTCAAGGAACACGAGGTGCAACGCCTCTCGCGTAGGATGTACGGCTCCTTACCGCTTGCTCCCAAATCCAATGCGCACCCTGAGGAGTGTTTTGTGTGAAATATGCCCCAGATTAGTTATATGTTGCATACGCACTCATGTACTGGCGCTGACTCCGATCGTATAATTCCGAGACGTTAAGGCTCTGTCAGAGTCGCTCTGGTCATCAAGTCCTGTGCGTGTATGACATGCTTCCCCTAAGGTGGAGGTGCAGCTCGAGGCTTCTCAGAGACACAAATTTGAGCTCAAGTTTCACGAATGTGCATAGTACCAGCATCGTATTATTTGTACACGAAAATGCAGCAACTTGAGTTATCAGCCTCACTTGTCATAGCAATTTGATAAAGCAATTGAACTATCACCTCTGTGCTTCTTCCACGGATATCGCGTGCGTTATTGGTTCATATTTGTGCAATATACACGTGCGCACAGGTACTCAACAAAAAAACTGCTCATTTCCTTCAATACACATCGTCAACACTTGCTGTCAAGAATAGCATGACAGAAAATGTAGCGGAGGTTATACGTTCGTGCACTCCGGCAGCGTTACAGCGCCATCTCCCTCTTATTCGTTCATTCGATTCTGAACCATTACACTCAGCACAAAGTCAGGCGCGTGAATTGACTCTGCGATAACTTATCGCACTGAAGTTCGGCCGCAGAACTTCAGTGCAGAGCATCGCAATATCCGAAGGTGAATATTGAACTCCCCGTTCACAATGGGAACTTTATGTTGACTACGCTACTAGGAATCACTTCCTACCGTATGTCCTTCCTATGATATGCCATTCTCGTTGTCATGCATTGGCGCGTGAAGTAACAGCACAATGTTGTGCGATTGCGCTGAAATCATTGCGGTCCAGTCTGCGTGTCGCAGGGTTCGTACGTACGTTCCAGGACACCTCAATCAACTTGCACAACGCATTAGGGTTGATTATCGCGTAATTCGATTATGATAGCTGGGTTCTGGCTGTATTGAGTTTCCGTCAGGAGTAGTAATCACCACTCAAATGTCCGTTATCTTTACCATCGTCATCCTACTCGGTGTTCTGTCGATTGCCCGGACCTTTCCCCCTGAGCCAGTATACTGCACTGAGTCGGGTGGCAACTTCGCAGCAATCTTCATCTTCGATCCGTCGGCTCCCGAAAAAGTATCCATTCTCTACTTTCTCCTTGTCGACCTCGACTTGATCGTCAATGGGACTGGAGTTATCCCATGGACTGTTGACTGCGAGCACAGGAATCTGTACTTGGACATCAAGGATAAGACTTCACTGATTTCGCAGAGGAGTTGCATTTCAAACCGGCCGAGTGGCGGGTGATCCCATACGACCGTACTCGCGATTCGTTCACTCTGACAGTCAACGGTACCCACGTGAATGCGACTCCTTCAGGGTGCAATGCGACGCTTGGGGGTCTGCTTGATTGATGTAGAGCTCACCACCACCATAATTTTCATTTTTGGGACTTGGCAATTGAAGAATCTCTAGAAGGCCTTTCCCACCTATTGAATCCGAAGAAATTATTTCTCCCCACATCAGTTTGAGTTCTGATGTGGTTCTCACGATCTGAGAATCGTACACTTTTTCACTTTTTTATTTTCACACAAAGTCGCTGAGCCGAGTTGACTAGTTTACCACGGGTCTGTGGAGGAGTACCGTGTATAGCCGAACCATACAAATGAACAGGAACCAGTTTCAACACCGCTAAAGTTAACCACAGGGAATCACATGCATCTATTCGTGCCGAGTAAGATTTCGAGGCGTATTCCGTGATTAGTAAGATCCATTGCGCAGGGCGAGCGGACAAACGCGGCAAGATGTGACCTTACTAAAGCATTGATCTTACTTAACGCGAAGTAGACCTTCAAGAGGTTAAGTTTGGGCGTGTTCATCTTTGGGCACTGCATGAGCCTCAACTTTTTCACCAAGTCACTTGTTCTCCTCGGCGTTTTCTAAAAACAGTATGAACCTGAACGATAAGACTACGAACTGCCAACGAGGGGGTCAGCAGGGACTGAGAGCACGGTGCAGGAAAAGATGGCCACGACCTTGGCTGGACAACCTGAAAAGTCTGGGGGTCTGCGGACGAGCGGTCAGATATGGAGTGGACGCCTCCACACCACTGGAGGAAAGTTCCCTCAGCAAACCCATGCCCAATAGGCCGGACCCCTAGATGGAAGGCAAGGGGGTCACACTGTGACCGACGGTCACTGACCGTCACAGGACAAGCATCGAGGCATAAGCGGCGTTGTCCAAACCGAGTGGGAAATGTGCAACACGATGCTGAGCCGCAACACTAGTAGTGTTGGTAGTGTTACACTACCAACAGAAGCTTGCACTGAAGTTTTGCACAGAACTCCTGTGACAGAAGACATGAAACATGATTTGGGGATGAAAGAGATAGCGGTTCCGAACCGGCTTACCGCCTCCGACATGGGCAGTGTCACCCAGCAGCGGCTGCTGAGCGGCCTATGTCTAAAAGAACAGGAAAGGACGCGTACAGTCCCCAGGTGGAAGACACCGTAGGAGGATGATGCCGACCACCTACCTGATTGCGCTGCACCCGTGGGCAAGCCTTTGCGATGTGGCACACATTCCAACTGTGGGAACTCCACCGGCAAAACACTTCACAGCGCTCAATTTGGTTAGGACGAAGCTATGGACTCCTTGGTGGGGAGCTCGAACGATCATGCATAACGCGATAGACTACCGCGTTCAAGGCCACAGAGGGGAAGAATAACGAGGCCGGCCTCGATCTTTGCCACCGCGACTCGTGTACGGTGAAGCAGGAGTAAATATGGCAGAATTTAGCGGAGCTTTGTCAGAGAATTCTGCAACCAAGCCAAGATCGGTGTCGACGACACCGTGTCGTTGTCCTCTCCTCCGAAAAATGGCCTAGAAGCTTCGCAATGCGTTGACGAGCAAGCCATGCCATCCCTAACAGACTCAAGGACATCGTCATTGAAAACTGGCGTAGTGGTGATACGTCTTGCTACACAAAAGGCGGCGTCGATCCACTAGTTGGGCTTGGGAACAGAGATATCTATAGAATCCAGTACTGTGTCACCGTAATCATACTTTGCTTGTTGAGGAGGAGCATGGTCGGTCACCGACTGTCGGTGTTGAAAGTACGAATTGCTAGCGAAGCGACGCGACCATCCCCATTATCGGTATTCAACTTAGGTTAACAAGTTAACTTTTATTAAATTTAGTTTTTTATTTTTAATTTATGATTTTCAGCTTATTTGTTCTGAATGCCCAGCAGTCCCCGTTGCCGGAGACCAGAGGGCCCAGATGTGGTCACTCTCCCTCCTACAGGTGTGCTGTCTCCAGAACTCAAGACAAGTGGCACTCATCACGTAAGTCTACTCAGCTTTGGTACAAGCACGATGAGAATCATTCAGGACCCGGGGTGCTTCACTCGCTGCCATTTTCACTTCGCCAATGACGCAGTAGAGGTCGGCGATACCGTGCGGGTTGTTGGTGGCCATCCATCCCTTGGAAACTGGGACTATAAAAGAGGTGCTCTCTACCTATCTCTCTCCTGTACAGTGTTGAAGGAATATATGTTCGCTCTTCTCAGCTGTGCTCAGGAGGTTCCCTACTTATTATATTTGAATTAGATGGAATTGCCCAGAGACCAACAAGACTTTCCCAAAATTTCCTCAAAATTCTCATATTGTCACCGACACATGGTAGTTGAGCACACGCATATTTTTCCACACTGCTCTTGTAACACTAGTGGTTCCTCCTTAGGACTGCCTCTGTGTATTCGGGAAGCCCTCTACCCTTGCTGGTTTACCGTCGAGCCAGCCATGCTACCTCTGATGCGTGTGACGGAGTATGCTTACGTCACAGTCGGCCCTAGTGGCAATTTGAAGTCTTGGGAGAGGACTGATGCCGGGCAGCGGGTCATTCGACAGGTCTCATTTTACCTTCAACGTTTTTTTGGATTTGTTTTACTAGGTCATACCGAGTGGCATGGAAATGACCATCGAGGACGACGATGGACTCTACCGCTACCTGTTGTCTAGGGGGGCCGCTGCTGCAAGGGTACATGGGAGGTGTTCACTGTGGTGCCCTCCTTTAGCATTGGCTACTCTCAGCCGCAGCATACCGACACTACTACAGCATCGGGAGCTTCTAGTGCGGGAGCGGCTGATTCGGCAAGTCTGGAGTCGGGAGGCAGAGACGCTTCCAGTGGAGAGCTGCATGTCTCTTTACGGCCATCGGGACCCTCTCAAGAATCGCTACCGAGAGTAGGAGCGGTGCAAGGTGTGGTAGAATAGGCGAATACTCGGCAATGCGGGTTTATGAAATTCTGAAGAAATTTTGGGAAATTTTTTTCGCTGGTTTTGGACATTTCTACGATGAATGCAGATTTGGTATTCACGGTATGAGCTTAGCTGAGGAAATTGATCATATAGTCAACCTTGGTTTGTAATAGCAGTAAGGTGTTGGCTCTCCTCAGGTTCGGTCAGCCTTTTTTGATGCGTCCATTACGCTCACGCCGGATGACTGCGTCGTGTTCGTCAGTATTCAGCTCCCAGTGCTCGTATGCAGAAAGTAATACTTAATGATGATGATAATCCTACCGTAAATTCGCCACTTCAGGGCTGGAGGAGGCTTTGAGGTGTACCCAAGTCGATATGTGTCGATGTCCACTCTCCATGCTGTTAAGAATGAGCTCAATCCGAATCGCTCCCTCTTTGTTGGCTGGCCGGGTTTGGACTGTCTCTCGAAGGAAGGTACTAAGGGGGTTGCCAGATATTCATCCGGGAATTTATAGTGTTTCTGGAGGGAACTCATTTTGAATTTCCCACATGGCTAGGAACACATTCTCTAATCAGTTTTTCCCATGTAAATGTCATGGTCACATTAGGAACATTTTCCTCAGAGTTATCAATCCTAGGGAACGTTACTTCTCGACGCTATGATGATATAGCGTCGAGAAATAACTGATATAACTATGAATAACTTGGATGAGATTTTTTCGCGCATAATCCTGTGAGGTACATGAGCGCTTGTTACTGCATCTAAGCCTTGTTGAAGTTTCAGCCTGAAAAACTACTTGCTTGATGCACAATTCCGGAGTTTTGCAATTTGTTAAATTATCGTTTATCGTTTAGAACAAGAGGAGGTGCGCAAAGTCCTTCTGCCCTATGACTGTATACCAGTCTTTTCGAGTGACCCTCAGCCGAAAAGAAGAGGTAGTAGTAGTAGTAGTAGTAGTAGTAGTAGTAGTAGTAGTAGTAGTAGTAGTAGTAGTAGTAGGATCGTTCCTTGTGAAGATGTTTCTAGGGAATACTTACCACCATGGACCTCTTCCGCGTAGTCGATATGGTTCGCGCCGATATCGGAGCGAAGTCTGTTTGGCAGTTTTTATAAAACTCGATCGATTTTTTCTAACCTTCGTTAGTTGCGCACACGACGATGATGATGCGCCCTCAGTAGTCCGCAGCCAGCACGGCATGGATTCGAAGAATTCCTCGATTTCTGTCAAACGTTCCTATGGCCTACTGTAAATGACCAAGTGCCTCTGGTGCATAACTCTGAGGACCTTATGACGTTCGACAACAAACTGTGGGAAAAGTAAGCAGGGAATCATCGAGAATGTTCCCGGGGGAACTCATTTTTAAATCCCCACAGGGCTATGAGCACATTCTTCGATCAGTTTCCCATGTAAATGTCATAATCACATTGGAAATATTTTTAGCTTGGAGTTCAACAAGTCACTGGGCAATCGGGCTGATCGAACTGTTCGGAATCTTGTTGGGTGTATGCATGTGTAGGTACCGGAACGCGAATCAGCGATATGTGGATGTGTTGCTGAATGCGGATCTTTTCCCGACGCTGCCCAATTTTGGAGAGTAGTAGAGGAGGGGGAATGCTGATGGGTGTAGTGCGCCGAGGGCGTGTGAGAGGAACGACTATGAACGAGTAATGTGACTGTGAAATGAAGAGTATAGACTCTGAGGGGTTGAAAAAGATGAAACCTGAGTCCGAAGTTATTGTAAGAATTGTTTTTTTTTCTGTCGCAACTACTGCGTTAATTGTACAAATGAAATAGTGCTATGTTTTTGATGCCGACCGAGGCGGGGACGAAATTTTCGGTTCAATGGAGCTTCAGCCGTTTTACGTAAAGTGGCGTAAAACTCGGTGAATAACGCGATATTCGCGATGATATGCAGTAGTCGTGAAAAATATTTTTCACTAATGTATTTCATGTTATGGGTGAAACTCCAATATTCCACAGTGCAGGGTTCAGATACGTCTACTGGGTTAACGACTATCACCTGCTACTGGTGCCTATGCTCTTGCGTAGGGGCCTTCGTAGGAGCCAGAGAGGCCCCTCCTCGCCGACTTTGAGCCCGGCCGGCAGTAGTAGTAGTAGCGGCTCACCTCCGAAGAAAGCGACGGTAAGGGTTGGGGAGTTTGGCAATTTTGTGGTAGAGGAGTTGGTATTGTTAGATTGGTCTTTTTGTGCACACGCCCTTCCCGACATCAGAGATATTCTTGACTTTGCCGGTGCGAACGCAAGTGATGCAGTCGCTGTTGGCTGCTGATTTGGTCGGCTTCCAATTCTTCGACTATGCGAGGTAGTAGTAGTAATGGAGAGGTGGAACAGATATGTGGAGTTTCACTCGTTTTACGTGAAGTGGCGTAGTACTTTGTGGTGAAAAACGCGATATTCGCGCTATGCAGTGGTTTGTGAAATATGTTTTTCATATCGCGGGTGAAACTCCAGTGATAACTTTTGAGAGAATTATTGAAAATTTGCGTGATTTTGGAATTACTCTGACGATCTGATTTGGTGGCGACTTGAGCGTAGTGTCATATACTCCAGTTCGGAGCTTCTACTCAGTGTGGGGAAATGTGCACATGATCAACTACATGTGTCGGTGACTATATGATAATTTCGAGTGAATTCTCGTTGGTTTCTGTAAACTTTTTCTCGAAGTCGAATATAAACTCCTGTAGTTAGTGAGGAAGCGCCCCAGCTCAGCTGAGGAAAGCGAACATATATTCCAATACCACTTCTATTACTCTTTGTGACCTATTGCTGTTATTTCATCGGAGGAAATTTACGGGTGTAAAATGGGAACGATTTTTCAAAAAAGGGGTATATAACATAACACGACAGATCAGAATTTTTATGGATTTTCGTCTGGATCGGTTTTCACGATGAGAAGAGATAGAGACTCTGAGCTGTGTTGGAGTTTGGTACCAATTTCACACTTCTAAGTTGAATTTCAGGCATTTCCTCACAGTAGTGAAGAAGTTGGTGGGCCTAGACATGTCGTATAGACTGTCCGACGGTTACCTTGCGCTGGACGTGCCGTACAGCTACGTCTCTGGGGCTCCGGCTTCGAGTGCCTCTGCTCAACAGAGACATCAGGTGAGGACCTCAGCAGGGACCCATTCAGCTTTGAGAAAGGGTTTGATAGCAATGGGGAAAATGTTGCTAGTGTGAAAAGATTCACGTGGAAAACTTGTTGGAAAATTAGTTCCTAGCCATGTGGATAGCTCGAAATGAGTTCGCCTTTGGAACACTATAGATATCTGAATGATTCCTCGGATCTCAATCGTGGATGTGCCAGTAATGGTGTTGTCATGTTCAGGTGTTGGTGACGGTAGGGCATGCCTCAACTCAGTTCGAGCTGATTGCCGCCCAGATGAGGTCGCCGGAGGTGCTAAGGCGCATCAAGGAACTTAAGGCGAAGTTTGCTGGAAAAACTATCATATGTAATAAAGTTTGGAAAGTTTTGGGGAGGTTTTCGCGGTGATCGAAAAATTTGGTATGTGTGTAGGTGGCGTGGATAGACTGGGACGGCTGTCTGGCATTCTGTTGAAGCTGAGAACGTTCCGTCAGTTCCTCAAGGTGTACCCAGCGTATAGGAATAAAGTGGTCCTAGTGCAGCTGGCGGTGTCGAGGACTACTACAACTCATACGAGTCCAGAGAATAGGATCACTTTGTCGAAGAGGGTACGGCGGAGCGGAGTTTTTTTTCGTATTTTTTGTATTGTGCTGGACTAGTGAGTTATCGAATTATCAATGCAATGTTGCTATAGGCCGTAGTACTACACGTCACCAGGAGTTCAGCATTGTATGTGAGTTCGAGCATGTCACTCAGTGTTGGGAAAATAGGTTACTCGAGAGTTCTCTGACTACTTTTTGAAAATTTGCACAAGATTTGTGGTAGGGGTATATGAAAACTAGTGAGAATTCCCCAAAAAATTTTTTGGTTGTCATCAACAAACATTTATTTCACCATGGGCCAATTTTCTCCACTAGTAGGGAATACCTTTATTTTTTGATGTTATTGCAGAAATATT